GGATAAATAAACTTTGTCATCAATCACTGCCGTTTTTTAGGACGCAAACCGAATTAACGATGTTTGCAACTAATAGAGAGATAAACTAGTTCATTTTAAATAATTTCCATTCTTTAATAAGCATTAAGGGAAAAGATATTCTTCTATTGAATCTAAAGAATAAATGGATTAGAATTTACTAAGTTTATGAATTATTATTAATTCATTTTATTAATTTTCATCCAATTTTACAAATGATTGGTTCTATTCATTGAAATTTCGAACACATACATTTAAACTGTTCCATTATCAACAGTTTTGCTAAGCCAGAATAAGCATTAAAACATATGAGTTCGTCAAATTTTTGACAGTTATTTTATTATTGCAATTTTTTAAATTTCGACCAATTTGAGCCGAACAAAATATCTGCAAATCAAATGGAGGGGGTAACACAAATTACTAATCATTCAATACTTTACATATCCATCATTCAGTTATATTTAATACAAATTTACTTGAAACATTAAAAGCATTTTCTTTTTCGTTCATGAAAAATAAAGGTGTTATAATTTTAATGTATTTGATTTCCAATTAAAGAGAAAATTAAAAGCTCTCTTTTAAACCATACTTCTAAGATATCACAATTAAAACTATAAATTAATTCTGCTCCTGTGTTTTGTTTTGCATCAAAGTAAAAAATACGATTTTCCTTTCAGATATCTAAAAAATGAATGTCATACAAAAATCGATCTACGCGAAAGTAAATATGAAATCCATTGTTTACATATGTAAACAGAAAAAAACAAAGGAGGAATATCTGAATTTATTAATGCGTCATTTAAGAATGGAATTTGATTTCAGGAGTCATTTCCCATTGCTTCTTCTAGGAACTCATTAACGAGTTATTGTTCTACTTGGCGTACATAGGTGTGGGAACATAAATGAATTATTGATTAAGTTAAACAAACATTCATGAAACAGTACTACTGGTCATATTATTGATAAATGATATCATGTAAAACAGGTCCAATAACGACAAGCTTAAAACATAGTTCAAAAAAGACGGACAGTGGCAAAGCTTTTGTTGAAGGATGAATCTTGAAATAAATGAGAGCAAAGAGGAAATAGATTAAAAAATAAATATTACTAAATTAAAATCAGTAACAGAGACTAATAAATGAGCTCGAAGAGGAATAATGGAGATGTCCCCATCAGTTAGTAGTGAAATCATGTAAATACAACTTAACTACATTAAAAGCATCGTTGCTGGTTTCAATAACTTATTTGCAGACGGCAAAGGATAAAAGTAAATCACTGTGAATTGATTTATTACTAGATTAATTTAATTTGTTAGCAAGCTTTGAATTTATTGCGCATAAACTCAAAGAATGGAATCATGGGATCAATTTATGAAAATTTAGATTTATAATATCATTCTGTGGCATACTTCAGATTTAAAAGTAGAGGCAATTTAATATTCCTAAGCCCAAAATGTGGAACTCTTGGTACGTCTACTTCATCATCCCCTTAATTTTTCAAGCCATGTTACTAATCTAATTGAAAATCATCGCTGGCGCACCCATTGGCTCGGTTCTTGATTAATTGAACTGCTGAACACATTTTACTTGGAATTTCTCAATGGTAATAATTAACATAATGAAGATTCTTTGGCACAATTCTTCCGATTCTTCTATTTGAGTTTGGCAAAAATTGCCTGGTTATGGGGAAAAATTTGAGTCGCTCATATCCTTGAAAAGTATACTATTAGTGTTTTCTAAAACAGATTATTTATTGATAAGTTTGGACTTATTTACACTTAACGTCTGACCAATAAATAAATAAGTAAATAAACTTTCCCTTAATGTAAAATATAGAAAAAAGTATTTGCATGTGAAGTAAATAATTGTCTGACACAATACTGAATGCTGAAATAGAGTTCACATCCACATTTAAAATACCTTATATTCTCTCTTTATTTTGTAATGCAAAGAAACCTTTCTCTCCAAGGCATAGCTTTAGCGGAAAGAGATGAAAAAGTCTTAAATATTGAGCATTTGTATTTTGATCTATTCCGTGGAGCGCAAAACGCTGCCGTCGCTGAACCAGATGATCTCATGCGTGCTCAGACAGGCTGAAAGGGGCGCGTGCTACTTAGCGAATGCGAGTAAACGCGTTCGTGAGCACGGAGACCACCCAACCAACATCCAATCAATGTAGCTCCCTGCCTGTAAGACTACACTACGTGCGGGAGCATAAATAATACATGGGGTGTCTTTAAGAACTAGGAGCTCATACCAGAGAAATTGCTGAGCATACGTCAAGGCTTTTTAGTGGAGCAATCAGCTACAAATCTTTAATCAAATTATGAAATTTGAAAATCTGAAAAGTAATCGGATTATAAAAGTTTCCACAGGTTTTAGCAAAAAAAATAAGATCTGAATTTAAATAAAGTTTAACCTATTTTTTCTCAAGATATAACGGATTTAACAAATATAAGTCGTAGGGAATACGAAGCACAAATAATTAAGAAATTCCAATTGTGGTATTAAGTATTAATAACACTTTAGCTAGGCATTTTCGTAATATTTCCTTCTGATCTTACGGTAACTACGAAAACATTTAAACAAAGGTAACTCACGAAGTAACCAATCAGGTTTTCTAGTTAGACGTGATCTCTAGCAGTATACGGCATTTTGACTCACAATTTATACGCCTTCTCGAAATGTCTAGATAATCTTAAGTCAATTTAGGTTTAACTACATAGCTAAATACTTTCTATATGGTTTATATTCATAATATTCTCGTCTCTGATATTCTTTACCATCCGAAATATTTATTAAAATCAAATGCCAGGCGTTTTGACAGTTACCATTAGCGCTTTAGCTGACTTCAGGCTTCACAGAGGGAGGAACATCAAAGTGAGAAAAATTCGATAGGGGGAGCAAAAGAGTGATTCACAGATGTAGAAGAGACAGACACAGAGGTAGAGAAAAAAGTTAGGTGAATACTATGGGAGTGATCAAATGTGACATACAATGGGGTCATGGTAGTTTGAAGTCCGAAGTCAACTGTCGGTTTACAGACTTGCTGTCCAGGCTGTACCACGTGGAGGTAAGTCTATCGTACACCCTCTGATAAACGTAAGTGACTTAGATTTAAATATCTGGTGGATTACATAACGCTGCCAAGACTGATTGAAGGAGTCTCAGAAATTATTGGGTTTTAACAAGCATGCTAGAAGCATTTAATTAATCAAATAATGTTTCATTTTCTATGTGATTTCTCTTTTAGTGTTAGCTCTTTTACCACCATTTTTATACTTAATTCCATAGCTATTACTTGGATTTCATTGTTAATATATTAAATTTCATTAATTCAGTTAATTATCGCATGCCAAGCAATTCTTATATAACTCCTAGGTGTTTTTTATTCGATCTATTCTTGTTCTTTTCACTTTATAAACCTATTATGTTTTAAAAATATTTTTCATTGATTTTAATGTATTATTAAGTAAATTTATTATTGTTGTTCTACACTATAGAGTATGAAACACTGCCAAGGTTGGGCAAGGAAAAGTCATGAACATTCAAGCAGTCTCGAAGATGCTCCTTGCTACTTATCGCGCATGAAGCAACCGTGCCGTGAGTGTAGATGCCTCCCCGACCATGATTTACATGCAATCAAACAAAAATACGCCCATCTAATTAGTTTGCAGCGGATTGCTACACTTGTAAAGCCTTGTCTGACTCAGAAATCTCTGTGGCAGACTCTCCTTTATCTAGCTAGACTCCCGGAACTAGCCAAGCTATAGCCCAGCTATAGAGTAAACAGACGTATCGCACGGTACGCGTTTATTCAGGAAGTATTTTGCAGATAAAGTGTACACGCCATAAGGTTAGTCATAATCAACATGGCGGATTTGCTTAAGCAAATGAAGGCCACAATTTGTCAACTAGCAAGTAAAGGAAGTAAGATGGGTATACGTGGCTTAAAAACTACACCGACTTGCTTTTGGATTTACAGTTATCTCATAAAATTAAATTCATACTAAATGCAAGAAAATAGATTGACGTTTTCTTGTTCTTTTTGGGTCTATATTCGACAGTACCTCGACCTTTCTCTAGACTTGACTTCGAATAATTTTCTACGGTTTCCTATCTCCATTTTGATTCTGACTTTTAAGTTACAAATTTCCCATGCTATAACTCAGGACCTAGCACATTCTACTTTTTGCATCCTACACACTATCGCTTGAGACAGATACCAAGGCAAATTTGCCACACATTGTGGACACAATTACATATATATTTAAATATTTTAAAGTCACAGACTTATGGAACAAGAATATTTGAATCAGCGCTTAGAAAGTGAGTGATTCAGGAAATACGCAAGCCGAAGAATCATTAAAACTTCAACATTATCAGAATTTTAGTATTTTCATGCCTATTCTTTTGAATTTAATTTTGTTTATATTTTTCCCAATGAAACATTTTGTTTTGACCCATCCGAAATTAGCCTCTAAAGTGATGAGTAATTCACCTGAATATCTCAATGAGAAGACCTCCACTAGCACTATTTTCCCACTTTTCTCTTTTTAGCATTTTCTGGGAAGATAAATTGACTCGTAATTAAATATCCTACCCGGGCACTGTGACCTGAGGACTGACAAACAACCCCATTCAGTGCATCGTAATACTGCAGCATAAAAACAAAAATTCGAAGTATATTAATAAAACAATATTTAGCCAAAGCATTTGACTTTAGAAACTAATAATAAAAACCATTTAGTCTTGTTACCATAAAGTTTTATTGCTTCGCTGTAAATAAATTCTTAATAATTTATTTGAAAAGGCAACTTTACTGACTATACATATATTTGAACGTTTCTTTCACCGTTTTAGGAATCCCGAAGCATATCTCCATCAGCCAATCTCTGCTGTAACTCCTATATACAATATATCTGAAAGATCAGTAGTGTATGTATCACACGTTTTGAACTGATCTATGTGCATTTGACAGACCTAGGCGTCACTTTCATCCGTTTCTGTCATCGCTTGCAGTAGAACTGAGAGCGCAGCATTACCAGAGGCCTCAGCAAGATCTCGGGGCGATTCACCCGCCTACATCATGAAATAAAAAAATTGTAAATGCATTATTTATCATGAATAAATTTGAATTAATTGTTTCAGAATAAATCAAGTTTGTGATTTTACTCGCCAATCACTTGTAATCTTTGACTAACCTTCATCTATTTGATTTTTTACCGGTTTCCCAACGTTATCAATTTATCTATTTAGTTTTCTTGTAAACAACGCAAAACTTTACATATGTTATTTCATTTTGAGTCTCTCTGTGGGACCATCTGTCAATTCCTTCAATTCACCTATATTTCTGAATAGTTTGCAATTTTATCAGAAGCTGGAGGATAGAAAGTAATTTCATGACATCTTGTTATGCATTTTCTTAGGTTGACGAATAACAGAGATATTAAAATTGGAAGTGATGATAAAACAGATCTGTTAGAAGCACAACACAAAGAATTGTGCTTAAATAAGAAAATATGATATTACCACCGAAGACAAACGGTTAAATATTTCTTACTATGTTGGTACTCATTGCATACTGTAAAAGCAAATATAAAAACTGAGGCACAGAACTATCATGCCACCTCAGAAAGTACAATGCCACCAAGGCAGGTGGGGGGGGGGGGGGGGGGGAACTCGAGCTTTCTACAACGTACTGGAAAGTGTGGAGGCGATTGAAGGAGCTTTATAAGCCAAAGAAGGACCAACTTTCAGTTAAAGCAGCGGTAAATTTGTTAACCAACTGAGTAGGTTTTTTCCGTTCTCATGAAATTGTATCATTGAGTTATATAATAAAAAGCGTTCACTCAGTATCTGCTGGCTTCTCAGTTTTCCATCATTCTGATATCGCGATTTTACGAAATGAGACTATTAAAAAATTAACCAAGCATACGAAGACCTATTAGTATGAAATCCTCTAAAATTACGTTGCCGTTATAAATTCTAGACGAACTTTCATAGGCACATCGATCAAGAATTGTTGAAAGGAATTTTGAAAGCGAAACCCGTGTCTCTCATGTTTTCTCGCAGAATTTTGTTTCCCTATTTCAGTCTGTTGGTATTTCGTCACTGTTTAATTAGTACACTATGGTTCACTCTGGAATTATTACATTCTGATTTTGAAAGTAGATTTTTTAAGCCCTTAGTCGAAAAGTGACTTCTAAAATATAAAGCTGGTATCATATATATAAGCAAAACCACAAAAAATGCAGAAGAATAAATAAATCTTTTAATTGGCTGTGTGACTTGAGGAGGTGGAATGGTTAAAAATAGGAAAACTTGCCCATTTTAAGCCAAGACAGTCTCAACTAATGGATAAGAAGAACGAAGCGGAACTAAGTGAAAGATTGATGAGTACAATTCGAAAAAACGACATTATGAAAAGGTGAACAGTAGTAAAATAGATCAGTTTTGTAACGCCAAAAAATCAACAGATAGAACATTACTTCGAAAGTTAACTCAACTCGCTATCTCTATTTTTTATACAAATAAAAATAATGAAACCAAAATCCGATTCAACATACTACCGGAAAGACAGAATCTCGTTTAAAGTAGAGTTTTTTGTGAAAATTGCTGTTTACACTCACCTCATTGATATCATGCAAGGGAGCAAATGCTTCCAGAAGTTGTTCAGCGGCCTCGTAGTGACCGTATTTGCAGGCGAGATGGAGAGGGGTGTTGCCCCAGTCATCTTTAGCGTTCACCGCAGAGCCAACTTCAATCAGAACACGTACCATTTTCGCATCTCCTATTGTTGCTGCATCGTGCAACATCGTGCGTCCACGCTAAAATAGAAATCAAATAAAAAAGCCTAGTTATAATCCATCGTCCTTTCAAGCTAATTTTGTCTTTGTTGCTGCTGAAAAATTAGGAGCAGAGGATATTCAAAGTACTTTGACTTAAATGGGTAAAAATGACCAACTAATGAGAGAGGTTGAGTTACATAGACTCTTATAAGGTTGTTAAATAATATAGAAAACTTCGATTTTTAAAGTCCGATTTCTCTTATATTTAAGTTATAATTAGTACTCCTTTATTTCAAGAATAAACTTTGTTGAAAAATAGCCCAATGGTTTCGGACGGAGCCTAGATTTGATAAACTTCAAATGACTACTTGAAGCAGTTACTTGTCTTAGCATATACCAGTATTGGTACATGCGTGAATGGAAAAACTTATGTCACAATCAAGAGACATGTAGCCCTAGATTTCCCAATTAATATTAAGTACAGTATCGACCGGTCGAGGCAATTCATGTGAATTATGCGACTGTGGCAAGAAATTTCAATGCAGAACAGGAACTATCAGACTATTAAATCGTGAAATACCTGTGAAAATTCAAAGAAGGTATCTTCAATAGTGAACTTCAATTCCTATTGAAATGAGAGACAGATACTCAAGATCATTCAAAGAGTACAACAGGTTAAAAACGCACGAAGATTAGAAATATGAAATCTATTGTTTTAAAAATGACTCATGAGAAATGAATTTAGTGAAAATCAACAGCACTGAAAATTGAATGGTCTCTTTAAAACAATAAAGGAAAAAGAATTAGAGAGATTCCTAATATGATCTCACTTTTAACCCTAATCGATCACTAAATAGAAAAAATCGATATAGAAGGTCCAATTAATAAAGAAACCAATAAACTTTATCTGTCACACCCTGGATTATCGAAAATCGGATCTATATAAGCAAATAATCCTCTTACGTGCAAGCAGTAATTTGAGCAGCTGCTGAAGTTCAATTAGAGTTAAAAGGAGTGGAGTGGGTAGGCGAATTCGTCTATTGTGTTTTAATTACAATACGGAGGAATTCCAAAGTAGTGAACCACTTGAGACTCATGTGAGTCTTAGTAATATTGGCCCACACTACCAAGTGATTAATAAAACAGATATTGAAGTAAGTGAAATATGGTTTTCATTATACATTTATTTTCTTAATTTAATTTTCCTGACTATAACAAAAAATATTTCAAAATCATGTAAGCTAGTTTTACTTTGCTTTCTTGACACTTTCTAACTGAACGTATGATACAAACCAACCACTATGCAACTACAATACAATCCTAATATAAATTCACACTTAAGTAAAACTTATATGGTTCTCACTTTAAACGAAACATTTTTCACTTCCTCTACTTTATTCCCGATTCGGTCACCTTTTCCTGCAGAAAAGTCGAGTTATGGAAGCTGACAAACAAAAATCGAATAGAAAAGACATTCAATGGCAGCAAAGCGTTGCAAGCGCTTTAGAAGTAGTTATTAGTTATTAACTATTTATGAGAAATCAATAAATCTTTCAGTTTTTGAAAATTGACAAAGATTCAAATTAGTTCCGCTAAATTTGATCCACCATTTCGAATTTGTTGGATATAGTCTACTGATTGAAGTCTTGAAGTTCCAATGAAACATGGGCATTCAATTCAGCTTTTAAAAAAGCGGCCATTATAGATCAGCTTCAGTTGATTGTAATTCTATAAAATGCCTTATATCAAAACCAAAAGGACCAAGGCATACTGATTATTAGCTACCAATTGAAAAAAACTTGAATAATCCTACATTTTTACTCCTCTAACTGCAAGTAACTATGTTAATCAAATAGAATTAAGTAAAATAAAGGCAACATACCAAGCAAGTCTCATTCACATCTGCACCAGCAGTAGCTAGAGCAGGAATGATATCATATCTCTTAGCCTCAAAGGCACACCTAAGAGGACTTGATTTCCGCAGATCTTTGAGATTTGGGTCTGCACCGAAGTGAAGCAAAAGTTGCAGAGCATATAAGTTACCCTTTGAAGCAGAAAGAGCGAGTGGTGTCGTTCCAAACTAAAAAGACACCAACACAAATAATGTGGTAAACATTACAAATGACCGGTCTCGTCGCGTGGATCTCGCGTACTGACTAATGTGTAAGTTAGCTTACACACTTACTCATATCTCCGATTGCATGAACGTGTCTCTTTGCTGACTTTGTTAAAATTTATAACAAACTTAAACAAATATTAATGAACTCTTGTACTAGTATTACTATAAACTGAAAGCATGCATGTTTAGATATTTAACCATTTTATTACACTTAAATGTCTTTGATTTCAGACTCACGAAAATATTTAAAATAAAATAGTTAAATTTTTAATAAGTTTAGCATAGGATTTTACAAATTCCCATTGATTTATAGTTAAACGCCTGGTGGTAAAGGAGATGGGTATCCCCATTAAAAATATTTTAAAATCAACGTAATGCATAAAGCACCAGACTTACGGCATCTTGAGCGTTGACATTTGCTTTAGCGGAAATTAGCATTTTGACCATTTTCTCCCCGTCTGTTCGTATGGCCTTGTGAAGAGGAGTTTCCTTCTCGTAGTTTTGAGCATTCGGATCTGCTCCGGCCTTAAGAAGCTGATCCAAGGTCTCAATGTATCCTCCACCTGCAGCCCGATGCAGTGGTGTATCTGAAAGCTATTCATACAAGTGCGTTTGAATTCATTCCACTTTAATTTTGTCTGTTCGTTGAATGATTTCAGCTCCAAAATCTTGTTTATAATAATGAAAAAAATAATGATAGTATGATTAGCCGGGAATTACTCCCTTAAAAGTGTGGACATTGCTAGAGTAAATAAATTAAACTTATATAGAGGTAACTGAAATTCGTATTTTCAGAACTCAAATTAAACTGGAGATTTTAACATTTTCCTAATATTTTTCAAAAACCTTTCCACACATATCTGTTTAACATAAACGAATCGAATTTGCATTTAACTGTTCTGAACTTAACAGCATTAAGGTTGAAACGACTTCAAACTTTGAGAAAACCTAGTATCCATTTAAATTCGACGATCGAAACTTAACGAAGACAAGTCTATTTTCCTACAACAAGTGAACCAAGATGACTGCCGAGTGGCTAAAATATGGTTAAAAACGTTTCTCCTAGTGTAGAAACGTGCCCAAAGGACAATGTTTTAATATACTTTTTGAGGGTACAGAAGCTATTTTAAAGAATTCACTTACTTCGGGGTCCGTCGCACTCACATCCGCTTGATACCTGAGTAGTAATTTGACCATTTCCAAATTGCCCGCTTCTGTCGCTATCAACAAAAGTGTATTGCCATGAGAGTCATGGGCTTCAACGTTGGCTCCCCACCTAAGAGCTTCCTGGGCCTTTAGGACGTCTCCGTTTTGTACAGCAGGTAAAGCGTTGGGATTTTCCTGGGGGAAAATTTGTTAGGAAGATATAATGCCGTAGTAATTTAGGCAAAACTCTCTGCTACCTTTGGGAGATATGATTATTCTGACAAGCCCTGTTATCCAAGAGAATCCTTGATTTTATTTTGATTCACCATGTCATAGAAATTAATTTTATTTTTGTCATCGTTTATATTGATGCGTTCGTTATCATGTTAAGAACCTAGATTTAACAATGCTTACTGTCAAAAGGTGGATTCACTCAAACAACCCTCCTGGGAATTCAGGTTTAAGTAATAAAGCAATCAAATACTTTCTTCATGCTAGTTTATTAGTCTACTCAGGCCTTCTTTACTTATATTTACCAGCAACTAAAAATCTCTAGACTGGGTGAACGAACGGTATTCGGTTAACGAGCTTCAAACCCATGTGTATAGGAATAACTTCTCTACTTATCTGAATCAACTGAAAAGGTCCTATTTTAATTTACAGTAATCCCATCAATGCAAAAAAAGTTTTATGCAAAATAAAATTCGATTAATTTTTTTCTCTTGATGCCAAATCATTTTTAATTAAATCACTTACATATGGATGGTTTTCTCGGATTGACCCAGGTTCGTAGCAGATCATAATACCTGATTTTGATTTGACCTCCTTTATATATTTCGGTTTTATTGGAGGAAGATTGCCATTTCCTGGTTTCTCCTCTCCTGAACTCCCATTTGATGGCGGAGAGGATGAACGAGTTTGAGGTAAATTTGTAGGCTTCTGAGTCGCAATGGGAGGAGACGAGGTTGAGCTAGACTCGTCAGAATTCCTATTAAATCTTGCCAGTAAATTCGGACGGGTCTTTGTCCTATAACGGCCGTTGAATGGACTAGCAGTATTTGCTCTGGGTAGAGATAGGTTAGCGCCTCCATTCATCTGGGATTGCATGGCTCGTGACCGCGATTCGCGCAGTGAAGCGATAAGTGAAGTCTGGTTACGCAGAGATGATGTTGACTGGGAGCGTATGTATCGCATACGCTCTGCCATGTCTGAGGTCCCGATATACGGAGACACGCATCTTAACTCCGGAGTGAAGCAAATAGGAGTAGGTGAACGATTCAACAGGGGAGACGGTGTGAAGCGGCGATTCTGGACAACTAACATGTTCAAATCTCGAGGTGTTTGATTGCGCTTAAGTAAACATATTTAAGTAAAAAGAAAAGGCAAATTTTATAATAATTTTCTTATAATTAATAACTAAATGAAAATAGATAATTAGAACATATGTTAAGTAATACAAAATCCATGCACTGTTTTCCTTATAGGTGAATTAATTTGTGTCCATAATATACTTATAAAAGAAAAATAGATATAGCAATCTCCTTTAGAGTCAAATCCAAAGATTTCACTGAATGTATTACCAAAGTCTTAAATATACAAAAAATTACAACTATTTGGATGTTTTTAACAAGTAAATTACTGCATATATTGAATAAATCCTATAGATAGCACTCATATATAACAAAAACGACTTTTTATAAATAGTTATATTTCCCGTGAAATTGGCAACGATTTGTTATAAATAAATTATTAGGTAGGTAGAAATATGAGTAAATTGGCAATATGTTTTGGAACTGGAGCACCAAAGAACCGACATCTATTGCGATCGCTCCAAGTGAAAACATGATATTGCATGCCAGCAAGTATACACCATAGAAACTTAATTTGAATTCTCAATATCGTTAGCTCTCTCCTTGAAGCAAACATTCACAATTACAAATCAGTTTGACATTCTGTACCCAACAAATAAGACCAAAACATTTAAAATTGGAGTATAGAAACAGACATCCAATACTATGTCATTACTAGATTAGTTATGGGGTCTACTAAGGTGACTCCATTTTTGTGAATTACACATAGCGAATTGGCCATAGCACTAATTTATTAGGTTGACAACTAAGTCATTGCCGATTTCAAATAAGAAGGCAACTTTGGAATTTTTTTTTAAAAATATAACTTTATTCAATTAGATATTGGCCGTTCTTGTCGATGACCTTTTTCCATCGTTCTGGCAGAGTAAAAATTCCCCGTTCATAAAATGTCTGGTCTTTGCTATTAAAAAACTGAATTAGGTGTGATCCGACATCATCCGCGTTGTTAAAAATTCTACCATTTAAAGAGTTTTGCATGGAACGAAACAAATGGTAATCTGAAGGCGCAAGGTCAGGGCTATATGGTGGGTGTGACAAAACATCTTAACCCAGTTCCAATAATTTTTGCCGAGTAACCAAAGATGTGTGGGGCCTTGCGTTATCATGATGGAAAACAACACCCTTCCGATTTGATAATGCCGGCCACTTATCTTCAATTGCATCCTCCACTTTTTCGAGTTCTTCAACATACACATTTGAATTTATCGTTTGGTTCTGCGGCATGAGTTCAAAATACAAAATTCCTTTGTGATCCCACCACACTGACAGCATAATCTTTTTTGGTGAATCTCTGCTTTTGATACTGTTTGGGCTGGTTGATCTTGCTTCACCCATGATCTCTTGCGAGTGACATTGTTATAAACTATCCACTTTTCGTAGCCAGTAACTAGGTTCTTCAGAAATGGATCATTCTCATTGCGTTTCAGTAGCGAATCACAGATGCTAATCCGTTGCGTCAAATGAATTTCCTTTAACTGGTGAGGGATCCATAAATCAAGTTTCTTGACATAACCAAGGGTTTTTCATATTTTTTCAATGCATGTATGCGCCACGTTGAGCTTCTCTGCAATATCTCGTGTTGTGCTGTGACGATTTGAATCGATAATGGCCTTGATATGGGTTTCATCCACTTCGACTGGGCGGCCAGATCGTTGTGAATTTTTCAGTGAGAAATCACCGGAACGAAATCTTTCAAACCAATTTCAACACTGCCTTTCTTTTAAGGCTTCATCACCATATACGGCACATAACTTCTTTTGTGCTTGCGATGCGTTCTTGCCTTTTCGGAAGTAATACAATAAAATGTGTCGGAAGTGCACGTCCTGTTCTTTCATTTTTAAATTGGGATAAAAACAAAACTAAAGAACTAAACAAAAAAATTTTTTACTAATTAACCTAGAAGCCCATACAGTAAGAAAAAAATATAGGTTAGATGCTCTGGCCACGTTAACAAAACAAAAGAAAGTATAGAGTGAATCTGTCAACAAAAACGGCAATGACTTAGTTGCCCACCAAATAATTTTAGATCTATGATTTAGCTAAAATGGCTTTTTTGATAAATCCTTTGATATGTGAGAAAGTACTTCGGAATTTTATTATTTTGTGGTCAGAATATGGATAACCCAGGAATTTAATAGGGAATGATGTAATGAAAGACCAAGAAAGTTACATCTGAGCGCTTCAATTATAAAATTCCAGATTCCCCAATTGAAGTAGAGCAGTAATTGGTTCATCTATGGAGTTGCAAATGTTTGTTGGTGTTACCTGGAACGAAAGTTTAACTCTGAAAGCTGCTGTACTTGATGCCGTTTAATAAAAACTGACGTCTATTGTTACGTGCTCTTACAAAACCATATCGTTTTTTAAGACAGGAGAAAGTGACAACTATTACTAAATGAAAGCACCCCTATTTTCACTACAACTTAAAGTATATTATGTGCCGTCGGATAAAATTAACTAATATTACCAAAAATACAAATCGTCCGTTTGTTATAAATACTCATTAAACCCGTATGATTGTTAAAATGGGCAATACTGCATGGTCATTCCTTTGCAGTGGTCTGCTTAATTCCGTTTTTGATGTTTTATCTACAGAAATAAATAGACTTCACAAAATTGAGAACAAATATTCTCGTGGGGTTCTCATCATTGTTATTTCCGCTGTTTCATAAAGTCAAACAATTCCAAACGATCCATGGCTTTGCCCGTCTCTACTTAGGAACTTCTAGTTCGCTAAATACTTTGACTAATACCTAAAAATTTCCTAAGGAAAAATCTATGCAAGAAATGTAGAGAAATTATGAGTTTTTCTGGCAAACTGCAAATGAGGCAAAGACATTAAGAGTTTTAATTTAGCTGAATTGAAACCATTTAGCTGAATTTAATCGAGTTAGTGTCATATTATTTTATTTGTCAAATTTAGAGATGGATCAATTAAATAGCACCAAAACTGATACCATAAAATACTCTTAACGGTTATAAAGTAGTTTATGCAGAAAAAAGTTATTTTCAAAAAAATCGCCTATTGTAATGAACTTACAGAATCCCTTGCAAATCGATCGGCACCGAAATTGAGAAGGAGGTTGTATAATTCCTCATTGCCATGCTTGCTAGCAATGTGCAGTGCTGTAGTTCCATTGTTATTGCATATTCTAGGATTGGCTCCGCTTTCAAGGAGGAGTTGTACAATCTTTAAATAACCTTGTCGACAGGACATCAAAAGCGGTGATTCACCCTGCTGTAAAGCCCAAAAATAACTTTGCAGAGTTTTATTATTACCAAATTATCATATATAAGAGCTTTTAGTGAGAAATTCACAATCACTTTAGTCAATCATGGTTACTAAAGTTGACTTAAGTAATTAAAATAGTAAAGTGCTTTTGTACAAAATTTTACACTGCATAGGAGGATGAATAAACAATTACTTTAATTTTAATTTAAAATTAAGTTATTTAAAAATAATTTTATTTAAAATTTTAGGGACATATTCAGGTCCTTCAAGTACAAAATATCTTAAGTAAACCTACATTTAATAGAATTTTTAAACAATTGAAAACAGTGAAAGCAATTATAATAGCAAAACTGAAGTTGATTAAGTTTTGTTAATGTAACCAATAATAAATACGATTGATTTATGCTTATTTTTTTCTAACTTTAAATAAATAAAAGTATTTGTGAAATGAGCTGTCACAGGGGGTATTGACTACATTTAATTGTATTTCCACAATATTTACCACAAATTTATTCCCTAAAACATATGAAAATGCTAAACTAAGTTTAAATTGCAACAAGATGTGAACGAATAAAAATATAGTGAAAAGAGTAGCATTCATTACATTGGAAATGATAGATTAGAGGAAGGAAATTCAAACTGTCCAGGAAATAGGAAGATCTCAATCGGTAAAGTGACGTTTGTCATATAACTTTCAAGGCTATTTAAACATGTGATAGGAAACTCGTAAAACGTTTTAAAACTTGTTATGGAGGTCATTCTGATTTTCCAAGGTCGAAGAAATTTCTCATGGATAAATAAGTAATTTGTCAAAATATTCTTTAGAATTTAAATCAATAACTATTAACGCAAATAACTGTAATAAAACACTGTTATCTAGCAAGAATTACATCAAAGTAAGTAAAATTATAATTGTCAACTAAATTTAGGGTCTTATGCAAATTTGCGTTTTTGTAATATAAAAGAAAGGAAATTAACATAAATCATAAAATAATTATAATTTGGTAAAAAACGATTCTTTGAAAAATAATAAGCTATATTGAAATTTACATGGAATAAGATAAATATTCAGTAATCGGTTGAATATTCTAACATCGTAACTATACGAGATAATTTCAAATTAATATTTTGTGATTGGAAAACTCTGAACGAACTAAATTCCACTGGACTGTCGACTCGGAGCATTACGGATATGATTTGTCACTTTGCAATTTAGATCCCAATGAAAGTTTATGTTAAGTCATAGATCTCGGATACTGAATACGCTTCTAGATCGGAATGTCTGCTAAAACTATTGCAAACACAACACAAATTCAATACTATTTGAACCTTTCTAAATCAAGCATAATCGATTTCTTCTCTATCTGCAAGTAAAGCATCCTTATTTAAGTTCTTTGTGAGAAATGCTAATGAGACATTTTGCAGTAATTCTTCAGACCTACTACCTGGATCTAATTACATCATACTTTAACAATTTCTAGTTTAATTTTATTCCTTGTGTCAAGACGTACTAATTTAATAAAGATTGAGATGCTAGACTTCGAGATTAATAAAAGCAACGTGAACAGCTTATAAATTGGTAAAAATAAATAATCGACATTTCAGGAGCAAATAGTGCCAGAGCACTAATGCTTTATTTTGCATTATAAAATATGCAAAGACCAATGTCAAAAGTTCATATATTTATTTTGTTTACTGAGTGCAATAATTAAATGCATTTTTTTAATTTCACAAGAATCAGAAATTTTAAGCAATCAAAACTTAGATATAAGCATGAAATGATGTCGAGTTGCTATGTCAACTTTAAGTTCATTATCGTATATTATTGATTATTCATATATCACGTCAGATTATATTTTTTTAAGAAGCCTTTTGGTTAAAAATTGAATTTTGTCAGAGAAACCCACTTTATTTTGTCTATTTGCGTCAGCATTTTGTTCAAGGAGAAAGCTGACCATTGCATATTGATTAGCTCTGCATGCATTAATTAGTGGTGTCGCACCGTTGTAATCCTCAAGATCAACGTCGGCACCGTTTTCCACCAAGACCATGGCGCTCTCAATGTTCCCCCGCAGAGCGGCGTAGTGGAGGGCACCACAGCCTCGCTAAAGAAAGGCAAATGGGGTAAAAATTAAAAAATCCCAACTACAAAATGGAAGCACCCATATTTGCTACTATTCTTGGCTGTAACATGATATGAATACAACGAGGCGGTTTAACAACCACGAAAATAAATCCACTGATCAAAACATCCTAACAAGGTTCTAGGACATATTGCTCCATGAGTCTGCAAATCGGTTAATGTAGGAATGTGCCAAACAAACTTTTTTCAATAAAAGGATTTATGAAAATTCAATGCTCACATGACCTATTAATAACCTGATTTCATCACCTGATTTCTTTTAACTCTTAAATTGTTGCATGCCTTACTCTACCATTTTTTTATTACCTTTATCAAACAAATTTTCACAGTTCAAATTCGTTCTAGGTAAAAATAATATTTGTATTTGAAAGATATTTATTCAGTAATAATAAGTTGTATTTTAATTAATAAATAAATGGTTTTTTAAATAGCATTTTAACTATTACTAGAACTTTCGAAGAACAGGAATATCAAGTTTCGAATTCACATTCTACTTAATAACTTCACAATTGTGCAAAGCTGGAAATTAAGACAATCAGTCTATTGAAGAAAAGATAAAATCGTAGATAAACGTTCATATTACCATATTTTCTTCTGAAGTTTCTCACAATCAGATACATCACAGTCGTTTGGTTTTTATCGAAAACTTCTTCATTTAAAAGAAAAAAACAATAAATGCATTAAAGATTTAGATTACTCTTCATTGAGATACGAGCGAAACCACCCAGTTCCCATGAAGGCTAAACTTTCTTATGGCTAGCTTTTTAGCTTTCCCTAAGCAGATTTGAGATTGGATCATTTATTATGACAAGTTTATCTGTTTCCAAACATTTTTGAAGATATTGAAGGACACTTTTCTGAAGCAGTAAACATTATTCTGAAAGAATACGACAATTGGTCGACTTTTGTACTCGATTTACAAGAAATTATTCTAGGGGTTAGAATGAAAAATGGTCATTATTCAATACTTGTGAAACTTTTACGTTTAGGTCAATATTAGCTTTGACTTTATCTAAGTAATCATTCCATATTTCAACAAGTGCTATATAACTTCAAAATTGATAATGATAAATAATAAGAAAAGAATGAATATAAAATGGCTTCAGTTGTCCCATCTAATGTCCAATTACTAGTTCAAACTGAATTTTTCTGAATTAGAGGAATCCATAGATTATGTTCAAATCAAAAAAGGCATGAATTAAGTCTCAGTTGACTTTACAAAGGAGACTCAACAAGTTGTTAGTCGTGCAAAGGAAAAAATTAGTGCTGCAATCACTGTAATTTGTGCTGCCAAATGTTTCCCACTTTAAATCATTCCGATTTCAAGGCAACTTAGCGAAATGAAACTGATGGAATGAATGTCAAGAAGCGGATAAAGCAATGCCTCCCAGAAAACTTATTAATATGCTAAAGGCTGAAAGAAACGTATACCATTGCCCATTTAGTTTCTTTGACGCGATATTTTTTAAATGTGAAAATATTACTATATTCATTCACCCAATTTCGTATGTTGAAATCAGCTCCTTCAATAGCAATGCGTCGAAGAGCATTACACCAACCCTGTTCAGCAGCATAGTGAGCGGCGGTTTTGCCTCCTTTTCCTGCTGTATTCACTCTTGCCCCTGCCCGCAGAAGAAGGTCAATTGAAGAATCCATCCCATTCGATATTGCATAGTACAGTGCTGTATGTCCCTCCTAAAGCACAGGAAAGATCTAGGTATATTTGGCGACAGAATAAACTAAATTCGTGATAGTTTACTATTTCCAGTTTAGCTAGATTATAAGTAAAGAGTAAATCATGTGATAAAAACAAAAACAAATGTTAAGGATTAAAAATTCAACTATCCTAGTTTTGCCCTGTTGAAATCATGAAGGCTTCTAATGCTGTCTAAATTCGCTTTACATTCCCAACATTTCGAAGAAATAAATTAAAATGACAAGACCTATCATTGTACAAGACCACTGAAAATCATGGACAATCATTTGTTGCAGTCAAGATGACAAAATATAACACGTGGCTTTGAGAGTTGAAAAACCCACTAAGTAAATTGTAGAACCTGAACATAAAAATCAAATTATTTGAAACTATCCAATCCCTTGGCATGCTTAAAAAACATTTCTGATTCGCCCCACTTCATTGCCATTTATTTTCCCACAGGCAAAAAATCTAAAAAATGGTTTTGCTTTGCTTTCTAATTACGAAACCAACGTTAAATGAAGAAGCGCTTAACGCTCTCTTCACCACATCATTGGGATTTTGCCAACTCACGTTCTATAAGTGCTCCCATAACTAGTAAACATTTTGGCCTTGTAAGATTTTGTCGCTGATCAATATCTACCTTTATCCTTTGAATGAAATTGTCCTTTGCATAATTATATTAAAATATAAAGGAAATCGGTATTTGAGACAGACATTTCTTTCAATTAGCATCACCATTCCGCAAAATAGCTAGAAACGACAATCCAAAATAACGATAGAAACAATGTTTTTCCCTAATACGACACGTGTCAATTAATTCACCTTTGTATTTGTTGAAAAAAAAACAAAAATATATTCAAGCGACCCATGAGAATGTGCTTTTTACTAAAAACTATAATGTTCACATGAATGGTGGCACTTGGTATTGCATATTTACTAGTTATTAGTTGAGATTAGAAGAACAATTTTACTCATAATAATTCTATGACAATTCAAGTTTTGTCTTTATGATAGGGAATTTTCACAAAGATGACGCATAATAGCACATTTTAATGGTAACTTAAAATGCTTATTCATAAAAGGCATTGCAAACAAATTAGTCAGTACAAAATTTGTTCAAGAATTGTAACAATTCAAACGAAAATAAGAGACGAAAGTGGAGCAGTGAGGAAAAGACTTTAGTTTTGATAGGCATTGAAACGTTTATGTTCAATTTTTAATTGAATTTTAATAAATGAATATATATTGGAGCAACGAAATGACTAGCAAGTAAACTTATAAATATATGTGTAAATCATTTAAAGAAATGATCTCAAGCTTTTGGGTAACAGGTATGTAAGTGATTTAAGTTTAATTATCTTAAGTGAATTATAGCAACAACACTCTTTGTGTAGTTAATAATAGCATTATTTTTATGATTTTAAATTCAATTAGTTCAGTTAAAATAGTGTGAGAGATTTTTCGACCGAAATATCATTGCTTTCTATCTCGATACAATTGCATCTTGAATTAAATGAAATTCATCAATTAGTATTGCTGAATCAAATATTCACTTGGCAAAGCCGTAAACACACTGGGTAACTGTAAAAGTTACTCCTTAACGAAGCCTTTAATTGATCTATCATGCTTCTAATTTTAAATTTTATTTCGAAATTTAACAAATTCTACGAGAACCACTAAATCAAACTAACTAAGCCATGAATGACAAAATTGTTGTGATACAGTTAACATCTCGAATTAAACATCTTTTTAAATCAGTTCGATTACTGTAGACATAATTAGCGCCCAAAATAGTTTAAATTCGAGTAGCAAGGAAAAGCCAAACAGTAGATCAACCATTTCTATTCCTCTAGTCTTTTTATTATTTCATCACGCGATGTCTTTCAAGGATTATCACCATTCAAATGTCTAAAGCACTCAAAATTTGCATATTTTGATTTATAAGCTAAATAGAAAGTGCGTATTTAATATTTTCCTTTTAAAATACTTGTTTCTGTAATGGAACAAATTTTTCTGTAATTGATTAAAAAATTTAAAAAAATTTACACGATATAAAGTGTTGGAAATTTTCATCTATTATTTCAATATGAAATTACTAGGGCACCGAAAAAGATGAGCGCTTTGTTTGGTGGATGAACATAGCACATGCATAGACTCTTGGCTGTATAGTGGTATAAATACTGAAAATTGATCATTACAAAAACGCAATGTGAGCTCTTCCTTCTTTGAAAATACGGATAAGCCAATGTTCCCCATTACAACTAAAGTGGCACTCTCGATGCTCTAACTTCACACAGTTCCTTTTTTGTTTAATATCTTATTTCACACGCTTATCCATTGTTCGATTCAAGTGCAATGCATGGGTTGAAATTACGAATCAACTCACAAACGAAATGTGATTGACATCGGCTCCAGCTTCAATAAGGACACTCACAACTTCCGATTTGGCTTCTCGGCAGGCGACCAAGAGAGGAGTGAGCCCATATTTGTTGACTGCCTCCAAATTGGCATAATTCTCAATGAGTCTGATTACACCTTCCACAAATCCCGACTTCGCGGCCAAGTGGAGGGGACAAGATTGATCCACCTGTGATTAAAACGAAGATGACAAATTAAAATGCTATTTAATTAGACACTAAAATTTAAGTCTTAGTAATCTACTTAAATTTATAGAATCCCATTCCCTTTTGCTCAGAATTCGAATGAAAAAATTATTTGAGGTGACGAGAACGACCATCCTGAGTTAACAAACTATTACATAGCACTGGTCAATGTAGTCAAGATTTTTTTCCTACAATCCCAATGGAGGATTTTCAATGTGAATGGTTGTTTGTTTCAAAGGAAAATCTTTTCAATGCGCTGAAGTGAAACACATAGGCTTAATTCTTAATTAACTTAATTATTGTTTATAGGAATTTTATTCTTGTACCTGTATGCGGTAGAAAACCAGTTATAATCATGTCCTTGCAATTACTGACCTACAGGGTAGCCAAAGAATTATCACATGTACGGCTATATTAGTATATTAGTTTTTACTGAACAATTGCGTTTTTCTAACAGTCGACATTTCTTATTTTCATTTTCGAATTGAATCGGTCCTGTATTGAAGCCAAAGCATTGCCAAGAGTACTTGAAAGGGTAAGTAATGTTTCTATTATGTCATATTAAGTTATGGTTTGATGAGTACTATATTTTGATTTAATTTTTTAATTAGACAGTAAAATTTAAGCAGGAATACCTTCACGATGGGGTTATAAATTAGGAAATGAATTTGTGAGCTTTTCTGTGTTGAAACCAACTTGAATCCTATTAACCGTCAAATAGGTTCTGAACATGACAGAGTGAAGTCATTCATAGGTCAAATCTCGAAATTTAAAATAATAAATTATTAACCATTAGAAAATAACTATAAGTATAAAAATATGGGTAATATTTTGAACTTAGAAATCAGAATGTGATAGTTACACTTAAGCTGGCCTAAAAGAAATCTCTAGGGGGAACTGATGTTCATTACATTTGATATCTTATTAATTTAAGAAAAACTTCCTTGTAGAAACAAGGGGCAGATCGACTTGCCCCTATCTATTACAGTATTGTCACACTAATTGCCATATCATCAAGATCAGTGTAAATCTACATACTGATAGTAGCAGACACTTAGGTATAACATAGATGATCTTAGAACAAAACATGAACTCTAAGGTCACGAATAATAGACTACCTATTACTAACCTGTTGGAACTGCATTTGAAGCCGCGGAAGACCCTAGACTTAGTTCAGATATTTTCCTACTTAACCAATTAAAGCTGACTAGTTGGCAAAAATAGTCACATTTTTAGATAAAGGATCCTACCATATGGTCAAACTCTATTCTCCAATCGATCAAAGTCGTAAAACGATCCAAACTCCTGTTTTCAGGCACAACTGGTTTTATTTGTCAATCGGTAATGGCAATCACTTTGCTACTAAGCAAAAAAACAGAAATCGAAATGAATCTGCAATGTTACTCACAATATCGATAGCAAAAATCTGGTACCCAGTCAACATGTTCAATAGACATATAATGAGTCATAAGAGTTTCAAAAGATACGGAAGGTGTTCAATACCTGGACATACTAAGTGTGCCTATGAACTGTGCATGAAGATCAGTATCTTCAATAGTGGTAGAGTTCTCGCAAAGAGTGTATTAACATAGTGCAATTGTGTGAAACGGTATAAGTAAAATACCTTTAAAAATGATCAGATTATATACAAAAATTGAACAACAACATCCCTTAGATCAAGCAACAGTCTATGAGATTCCAATCCCCAAAATAATGGGTAGATTTTTTGAGATTTGGAAGAAGACAGACCGGTAGAGATCTATTTCATAATATTACTAGGGGGATCTGATAATAACAAATAAACAAATAAACTTTACACGAAAGATTTTACATTTGGGCTCCATGAAAATAAATCTATTCTAAACCCTTAGATAACAGTAAAAATGAACGAAAAAACCATACGAATTTATGAGCAAAACAAATGAACAAAGATGGAATTGAAGTTTGAGATACCCAATCATAGCTGAAATAATGTAAAGAGGCCTCCAAGATGTAAGAACCAATGACGTGAGACGTTTTCAAAAAACCATGAAAGGTTATAGCCTGATTACATGTTAACGGTCAGTGCCATGAAATGAACGTTAAAAGATAGCTTCCAAACTGGATCCACCAAGGTTCAAGAAACTTAGGAATGACCAAATCATCGTCCCCTACTAGAATTTAATTTTAATTTATGTTAATAACAGCAATGCAAATCCATTATTTTAAGATTTTTGAAATGAATAAATTCCGTGATCAACTGAAAATAACGAAAAACGACATTATAGGTGATCCTTGAATAAGCGGAAATACTGAACTCGGTGAACTGAATTTCTCGGACTAACATAAAAAATTTAAACACTGACATTTTGTATCCCCTCGAAATGTCAGTATGTTTCCAATGACCATGAATATGGATATAATAGAAGTTTGCAGGTTAAAAGTTGTTGTTCTGTTTCAAATATCATTGAAAATCGTCTACCTAACTTAAGGTTAATTATTAAAATATTTTGATTAGTTTTTAAAGCCCAATTTTCAATTGTTACTTTAAAAATTACGTAAGAGAGCTTGTAACATGTTAGGGTCATTATTTAACACAAAATTAATTAGAAAAAAGTCTATATAGTGAGAAGGCAACAGAGAACTCACCTTAGTGGGATGATTGACATTGGCGTTGTACTCCAGGAGCATACTGAGCTCGTTGAGTTTACAGCTTTCGCAGGCGGAATGGAGGGCTGTGTAGCCGTTAAGGTCGTGTCGGTTCAACTCTTCGCCAGGCTGGACGAGAAGTGCCAAATCTTCAGATGTGCCCGACCTCACGGCGTGAATCACTGCTGTCATTGAGGAGGAGGAAACCTGTTGTTCAGTAAAGGCTGGAATGGTGATTGCTTATTGGTTCTAAGGACAATAAAACGCTGAAAATAAATTTCGTTAAGTAACTCTCGACTTGAGAATTATTCCCTAAATAATGTGTCTGAACATTTTCTGCCTTTCTCATTGGGGTACTTTCTGATGACTTAAATGAAATAGTTACGTTTCGCCTGGCTACTCATATTTTGGTGTTTGTATCAAATGGCAGGCTTTATGATAGTTATCATTCGCCCTTTAATTGACTTCAGGCTTCACAGAGAGAGAGGAACATCAAATCGAAAAAGTCGAGATGGGGGGGGGGTGAACAGAAGAGTGCTTTAAAGATATAAAAGAGACAGACACAAAGGTAGATGAAAGGTGAGGTGAGTACTGTGAAAGAAGTCGAATATATCATACAGTGGGGTGATGGTAGTTTGAAGTCAGAAGTCAACTGCCGGTTAATAGACTTTTTTGCCGTATGAATATACGTTGCCCAGGGTGCACCATGTGGAGCCTGATGGAAATGAGTCTTTTAAAGAAAAATCTTACACTCCAGGTGAGAAAATATGAAAGGTTATAGCTTCTTTAAGAAAAGAAATATGCACTATTAAGTAAAATTAATACAAAATGTAGGAGGAATTAGTCAACTAAACGGAATGACCACAGTTCTTTTCAACAAACAAAGAATTTGATGAAGAAAATAGGTCCAGATATGGACGATGATTGGTGTTACACTATTTTTATACACTCCATACCCTCATGTTAAGATATTCGCATGCAGATGCATCCGTACAGACTCTGACAAGGTTGCTGGCTTGACTTGATTG